CTCCACAGTGGTTCTTATGATTACTGGTTTTTCTGTTGTTGGAAAAGCTTTCCGTATAACTATGCCATGCGAAACCTATTAGCAGCTCGGGGAGTAGATTTGAGACAAACAAGTCTCGAAGAATCGTTAGTGATTCTGTATCAGGAGTTGTGGGCTAGATGCGTCCAACCTCAGCCAACTCGATGCTACAGTTGATTTTCAGTGCACATTTTCGGTACTTAAACTATGTGGAGAGTTCAAGTATAAGAATGATCTGACAAGCGGCAAAGACCTCGAAATCGGTCGTGTGCTTCTTGGAAATTTTTTCCGGTCATTCGTATGCTACTGATTATAAAAATGTCCGTGTATTTTTTACATTAGCAAAATTTGGAAGTTTCTAGGTATCCAGGTATCCAGTCGCATCAACCGATGTCCGGGTGGCTGAGAACGGCAATTGGACAAGCGATCGTCATGATTGGTTATGCTTTATTCTGTTTATAAATATATATTTCAATAAGTAGTATGTGAATGACTGGACAAAATTTCCCTAGAAGCAGACCACTGTTTCTTGCCGCATCTAACCAACCTACAAACATGGAATCATATCATTGATTTTTCAATAGACTGGTTCTGAAAGAGCTGTTTATCCAATAGTCACTCAATGATGCAAACAGGGTTATTGTGACGAATACGTATATATATATATATATATATATATATATATATATATATATATAATCAACCTCAAATGTTCAGCTTCTTGTTGGAAGTCAATCTTGATAGTACACTCATCTGGTTCTTGTCTCGGTTCACATGTGATTGCCGGTTTGCTGGCTTTCCACCAATGAACAGCAGGTCCCTATGGTATCCAGCCCATCTATTGTTTGTTAAGTAAAGACATTTTGCAGAAAAAGCCATGAAGAATTATTCCGTGGATCACACAACTGATTGGCTTTGGGCGTGGATACATGTTAATTCAAATGTGGTGTGGCGTAATTAGTGATAAGAAACTGCTGCTACGGGGCAGCAAAAGTCACACACACACACACACACACACACAAACACTAGTGGGGATATAAATGAAAAAAGATCAGCCCATCAGACGTCCACTTACCTTGATGTCTGAATAATGCCTTGCCGGACACCAAATTTCCACGGTGTTTTGATCTCCACATCGTTGAAAAACCAGGAAATTAGCGGTGTGGGTCGACCACGAACTTGGCAGCTAAGCAATAGGTCATTGCCTTCGTCCACCGTCAGCTGATCGGCATGGTACAACGGTCGCATTTGTAAGGGATAGGCTGAAATACACAAAAAAAACAGCCGCAGAGTAGAAACAGCGTTGTAAAAGCCAAGGTGGACATTTTCTTGAGAACTACCCTGAACTATTGATATGCACATGACATTCATGATGAAAGCTTCATTTTTATTGTCTGAATTTCCCGTTCACACGCAACAGACTTCGTTATTTTTTAAGTAGTCGTGTTTAAAATCGAATAGAACGTGAAATAAAATATGCGTTTCTAATTGATCCGCACTTGGGAAGGGAATCTCACGGCCTTGACATCCTACCATGAAATAGTCGTTGCCTGAACCGAGGAACATGGAACATGGGAATGGGTGAACAGCATGAGAGAATTCATCATCAGTTCCATATGGCACAGACACACGGTCAAGCGGACTGCAGCTAATCAGTACGTGGTCGGGGAACTTATATTCCTGATCCTCGGCATACAGTCAAACAAAATCTCACATCTCGTTGTGAATTCGGACACATTTTGATTGGAGCTATCCTTTTCACAACTTTTGATACAGTTTGTTTTTCAAGTGCGCTCTGTCAGCTTGGTTAGTGACGCAGTATTGCCTAACGTAAACAGTAATGGTGCGAGGATCTCGCCTGGGGATGAAATAATTTGTTAACTGCACGAGAACAGTTCATATATAAATATATATCATTTTGCCTGTTCGTCGAGCTTGTACAGTTATTTGCAAACGTTTCATCACCAGCCGAGATGACATCATCAGTGCTTGTGAAGCTGCAGTTATCTGCTTTTATCCGTTCATTTGTATATGTGTTGCTCTACAACAACTGTGTTTATCCCTTGTTCTCAGTGTGTTTGACTCGATTCCTGTGGAACTGATGCGACGGGGTGGGGTGGGGGGGGGAGGCGGAGGTTGTCCTTTCGCCCTGATTGCAGTTTCGGTCCGTTCTCCAGTCACAGCGTGATCAGTTTTTGTTGCGTCATTTGATCCTCAGATTGTGTTGGTGTGTACACGCGATCCAGTTCGATGTACCTGTTTAGTGAGTTGATTGAAGAGAGTCAAGCTTCAAGAAATTCTCTGGAGTGTTTTGACCAGGCTTGGTCGACAATTTTCACTGATTCTCAGTCAA